CTTTTTTCTTTTCCTTACTTTTTTCATTTTTATTGTCTTCCAATGAATTCCTTCCCCGAACATATCTCCGCCGTGGCACGAGCCGTCGTTATTCAAAACAAAACCCAAAACCACCCCGAAACTGCGAGCACGATCGCAGAGCTGGGCCCAAGAGCTTTGAAAACACTAATAATTAATGTCGCTTATTAATACTGCGAATTAATACACAGACTTGACRGAAAAAAAGAACAAGATGGCGCTGAGTAAAAGCTCGGGAAAAAAATATATTTATTTTAGAATTTATTTTCACGACTTCTGTTCTAATTTCAGCCTCTTTCAAACGACTTTGGCCCAACGACGGCTCCTCCTGGCCCGCGGCCACCGGGCGACCCCGGCCCGGCTCTGGCTCGGGAGAGCGGCGGAAAATCGGGGACGGTTTCGCTGCTTTCGATCCGCGCGTGGCCGCGGGCGATGCGGAAAAGGCGCCTCATGCACAGGGAGCTTTGGGRAACCGGGAACGAATGGGTTTTGTCGCCGGAAAATGGGAGAAAACGAGAGTTTGGGGGTCCGGGCTCCCCGGGAGAGCTGCCCACGCCGGGAGTCGGAGAAAGGTTCGGGAAAGGAGGRAAAGCTTTGTTCCCGTCGAGGAAAAAAAAAAGGAGTGTGGTTTTTTTGTTGTTTTGGTTTGGATTGTATTTTTTTTCAAACTTAAATTTCTTAATTGTTTTTTTTTCTGAAATTTCTGTTTTATTTTACTAAATTTTTTTTAGCACTTTAATGGAGTTGGAACGAGATGAGCTTTAAGGTGCTTTTCGATAACCGTTCAGGGATTCCATGAACAAGAGGCGACTTTCTCGGCCGGAGCGGAGCCGCCCGCACGGAGCAGCCACCKCCGGAGCCCCCAACTCCGCGGGTGCGGCCGCTGCGCGCTCCGCTCCTCACCCCGCGCCGTGTCCCGCATCTCCCCGTACCCCTCACTGCCCGAATCCCGCATCCCGCAGCTCCCCGCACCCCTCCGTGCTCTCCGCACCCCTCGCCCCGCACCGCGCCGCCGCCTTATCAGCGCGGCGGGGCCGCCTCGCTCCGCCCGCGGCTGTTTTTCTGTTTGCTCCCGATCTGCGCGTCAGAAGGGGCCAATAAACCTGGCGCAGGTTAAACATTAAATGGGGTTCCTTGCCCCCACCCCGCAGGAAATGACCTCCCCTCTCCTCGGGGTGCCGGGTGCCACCCACCCGTGCCCGTGGGGTTCTGTTCCCCCAAACCCTGCTCCCCAAATCCTCTGCAATCGCCCCAGGTGTGGCCTCCGGAGCTTTTCTTGCTACCTCTTTTTATTTTTTTTTTCTTTTTGGTTTCACATTTTGRGTGGGTTTTTGTCGGGTTTATCTTTTTTCTGGGTGTACAACACGGGGGTGATATATATTTTTTTTTCTTGTCCTGTCAATCGCCACTGAAACCATAAGGGAGAGATAACAGAGAAGAGAAAACTCT